AGCTGCTGCATTTCCAGCTGCTGCAGGCCCCAGTGCTGCCAGACCACTTGTTGTAGGACCACCTGCTGCCGCCCCTCCTGCTGTGTATCCAGCTGCTGCCGCCCCAGCTGCTCCAGTGCTTCTTGTTGCTGAGTGCTCTGCCATGCCTGCTCCTGTTTGTCAGCACCAGTCAGTCCCGATGTGGTCCCTCTGGAAGTTGAGTCATGAGGGGCCAATTACAAAGCTTCCATTCCAGCTGGGATTGCTTTTGGGCTCCCAATATACTGTCCCCTCTTCTACAAGTCACTGTATCCCAAATGAATAAAATTAGAAATTTCTCTGAAATCTTTTGACTCTCATGAAAATATTTGCTGTGTCGTATTTTCTCCCATGGGAGCATCCCCATAATTTAATAAATCCTAATTTTTGCAGTCACACAAAGATAAAGTTGCTGTGCCTCTTTATTTTTCCTTCTTAAATTGTCCTCCTCGGTCAGTTTTTCTGTAGCTCATCTTTGAGGGATAAGAAGAAGATAGCAACTGGTTTTAGGTTGGCCAGCTGTGTTCCCGTAGCACTCTTCCTCTAGTACAGCTGGACAGTTGGTTCTTCAGGAAGCACCTGGACTCTTCCAGGGGAATTTCTCTGGTTGAGGACCAAGCTCTGAGCAGGACAACAAAGGCCCTGGGGTCAGAGCTCACCCACTGCCGGGTGGTGAGCAAATCCCCTTGCTTACTTCCCCTCCAGTGAGGGGGCCTTGCTCCAGCTTCCTAGAGGTCCTCAGTGGGACTGGACCCCAGCTACCCCCGGGCACTCTGCTCGTTGTGTCACCTGCACTGGCTTTCCTCTTTGCTCTGGACATTTCCCAACTCCGTTTCCGCTGCACTTTGGGGATCATTTTGTAAAGAAACTGTTGGATCTCAAGCCCTTGTATGTGTGTTGGCTCTGAGGACAGGTGATCTAACGCCTCCACTTTCCTACTCCCAGGGTCACTTCAGTGGTAGCCCTGGTGTCAAGATTGACTCTTGGATTTGCTGTCTGCTAAACTGGAAAATCTTTTGAGTACTTTGCTGCTGCAGCAGCTTTTCACTCTTTTTACCAGGTCTTCTCTTTTCCCTCCTCCTCCTCCTGCTTCTCCTCCTCTTCTTCCTCCTTTCTAGCCTGTCACATGAGTACATCTGACAGCCTGGAACAATGGCAGTGTTAGTACCTCTCATCCCAACTCTATAATGGGTGTGTTCAGTAGGATTCACTAAAAGTAGAAATTAAAACAAAGATTTAGTCCAAAAGTCTTATGAGTTTATCCTTTTATTTTATTTTGTTGTTGTTGTTGTTGTTGTTGTTTTTCGGTACCAGGAATCGAACTCACGATGTTGCACTTGCTAAGCAGGCACTGTGCTGCTGAGCTAAATTCTCAGCCCCTATGAGTTCATCCTTACAGGACAAGTCTGGAAGAAACTGCAGGAAGCCAGTCAGAATGGTAGAAGCATTGAACCCCAAATGCAGTGTCAGTGGTTCTACCTAGCCTGACCCCTCAGGGAGCTCTATAGGGTGTGGCAGCTGAGATCTGCTGCTTCTAGAAGCCAGGGTGAGCTGGGTTCTCCTCCTCCTTGGTGATCATCAGCTGCTGCCTCTCCGGATAGGAGCAGAGGGTGCAGTAAGGCTCAGCGCTCCTGATGACATCTCTCCTTTGAGCTGAGGACAATGGCAGGAGCAGAGGGAGCGGAGAGTGTGCACTCTGCCTTCACACAGGCTGCTGAACCACATCTCTGGGTGGGATTGTGGACTTGGGCATTAGAGTGATCTAAAGAGTCAAAATAACTATCAGTACTTCTGTGTGCAATGCTCAGAGCTCAATGTTTCAAATTTTGTATCATTCTCTATTATTTATTTATTTATTTAACTTTTCT